GGAGACGAGCTGCCAGGGCTCTGTGGGATTTGCTGCTGGATAATACGCAGCCAGGGTTCAGCCTGAATGGCCGCTCGCCTTGTGTGGTCACAGGAGTGATTTGCTGAGAAGGACTAAGATGAATTGCCTTGCCTCAGGAGAGGCCCCGCAGCGGGGGGAGCCCAGCCTCAGCCCCAGCCATGCCTGTGCTTTCCGCTTCCTCTTGCCGGGGAAACTCTGCCCCATGGGAGAGCTGCTCCAAGGAGGCTTTTAATGGGGAGCACAGGTTTGGGTTGGGATCACAAGTGCTACCAGGGCATCCAGCAGAGCTGTGGTAGTGGAGGAGAGCTTTTGATGAGGATGCTTTAGGCAGGGATAGAGTGCTGAAACACTGCTTAAAAACATGTGCCCCCACAAATAAAGGCATGGCAGCTTCAGGGAGCAATCAGGTGCTAAAAAAGCCCTAAGTACAGCCCTAACCAAGTGCATGCAAGCAGCACTTGCTGTGCTGGGAAATGTGCTGTCAGTATGTCACCCATCCCTGCATCAGAGGAAGGTGGTGGTGAGGAAAGGGGAGAGGAAAAAAGCCTGCCAAGCACTGCCTGGTGCATATGGAGGGGTGAAGCATGGGGTGTGGGTGCATGTCTGTGTCCCTGTGAGTGCACCAGGACTCCTGGCTCTGCCCATGGCCCCATCTGGGCTCTCCATCCTTGTGGCAGCCATCCCAACTGGGGACCCACCTCTCCCTTGCCCCACAAGAGGTGACGATGCTCTTCATATTCCTTCCCATAGAGGAAAGGCTGAGGAGCCCAGCAGGATGTAAAGTGATATGACCATGTCTCTGGGAAAGGCCTTGCATGGACACCATGCTCCAGACATGGGAATGACATGAGAGAGCTGGAGTGTGACACAACTCTGTGCCCTGGCTCCAAGGTTCTGCACTATATGATGCTGCTCTGGGCTCTCTGTTTCAGGTTTTGGTAATGTTTTTGCTTCATTCCTGCTTTTATGGACACCTGTCACAAGCAGCTTTCAAGCCTGCTTTTAGTTTTGGCTCTTGGCCCACAGAGGTGTGCACAGCACCTAGGTAGGGAACCAGGGAAGGAATTTGGAGAGCTGTTCCGGGTCAGTGGCTGTGCCATGGGCTTCATTGCCTATCTATCAATGCGAGTAAGTATTATTATCTTTTCACATGCTGCTGTTGCAGACCAGCACCCCTCTTCTGCTCCCTTCCCAGGTTCTTGGGGCATCATCCGCTGCCATTACCAGCAGGGCTGCAGGCAGCATCATGGCTGTGCTCACATGTGCAGGGAAAGGGGCCTCCAACTGCTCATGGTGTTGAGCCATCAACCTGTGCTGAGCAGCACGGAGAGGACAAGTGGGCTGGTCCAAACCCGCATGTTTTCTCTTACAGCCACCAGCTGGTTTCTAGTGATTTGCTTTAATTGTGTTTCCCTTAACAGCATGATGTGTAATGCCCACCTTCGAAAAGGGCACAGTTACTGGGAAAGTGATATGTCTTCTGTTTGGGTGCCAGTGTTATCTACATTGCGTGTGAGTATTGCAAGGTGGACCTGCAGTCTGGGCTTACTTCTGGTTCTGCCTTCGTGCAGGAGTGTCTCCAAGTCAACTGCATTTCAGCTGCTGGCAGCAACTGGGGTAGGAGTAATTTGCTGGGCTGGGGTGTCGCTCAGCAATGAGCAGTGGGTGACAGCCGTGATCGAAAGGGACATTTATTTGCCTTTAGGATGGAAGGAACGTGACACCTCTTGTCAAATCCCATCTCTGCAGATTTGGGCTGTGAGGCAATAAGGCAGAGGGCATGGCAAAAGGTCAGACAAAGAAGCACTCTGCCTAGGCAGGCCTTTGCCCGGATGCTGCAATGGCACAAACTTGGCACGGGATAGTGGCAAGAGTGAGGAGTGGCTGGTTCCCCTTCCACTGGCTGCTCCCCTTAACAGCTCAGGTGTTTTTCCCAGTAATGGCTTGCATGCTGCTTCAACATGTGCACACTTACTTTTACACCTTGGTGGCATTTTGTACCATGAGAGTTACTCGGAAGACCAAGGGATGCTTCATGTGTCGCTCTCTTGTGTCTCACGTGTCTCATGTGGGGTCTTGCTTCTCTGGAGGCCTCTTTGAGAACTGAGGGTGTGCGACCTCCCTGATATATAAGTATGGATTCTTTAAATTGATTTAAAATATCTCTTTGTTTAAATACAGACTCGGGTCTGTAGTTGAGCTCTGGTGGTCAACGTGGACTGAAGCAAAGCAAACTTAAAGTGACCATCAGTTGTAGGCCATAAGGGACTCTCATGATCTGCTCTGCTGCCATAAGCATAAAAACATGAGACTACATGGATATGGAAAACACAGGTGAAGGACTTCCACACCCAGGGAGGCTGATCGTGCTGGGATGAAACCTGGTGCCTGCCCCATCTGGGGCATCGGTTAGGTCGTGTGTCACATTCCCACCTCTCCCACTGCCAGTGACACTGTGGCCACCCTGCAAGGCTGCAGCACCTGTGCAAGCCCTTTCCTTCAAGCCCTTTTTCAGCATATATGGAAGAACCAAGCCTGCAGTTTACAAAGACCATTCAGCTCCTCTTTTCCCATCAGTAAATGAGTATAACCAGCACTTTGCACCATTACACCTCCTTAGAGATGCAGAAAACACATAGGTTGTTTGTTTTCACATATACCTACCTAATTGATGGGTTGAGAAAGGGGAGGCGGGAAGGGAACTTCAGCCCTATTAAACTGTTGGGAATTGCGTGCGTTAGATTAGAAGTGTTTGTATTATAAATACTGCAAGGAGCTGAGGCGGGGAGCGAGCTGGGATAAAACTGCCGGTGGTGGTGGAGCCCTTTATAAACATTTGCATTTTTCCGGATGCAGGGGATAGTTAATCCAAACTACACGCCTGGAATTTATCTCCCGCGGTCAGGGGTGGTGTTGCCTCTGAGCTGGGACAGGAGCTTAGGCAGCACTGCCAGGATGTGCATGCACCCCTGCCTTGCCTACCCAGTCCTGCTTCCCAGAGGAGCTGCTGGTAAACTGCTCCCTGATGTAAATACCGACACTCCTTGCATGTGAGTGTTTAAATCTAGAATTGAGCTCTGCAGCTCTGATCTATTTACATACAATGTGGGGGGGCAGAAGTATATTCAGGTGAAATATTTTAGGGACTGGAGAGATTTGTGGCTTATTTATAGATGAGCATAGGAAAAAACCTCCAAAAACCACCCAGGGTTTTTATCTTTTTTTTCTCTCCCACTTCATGGCTGTGTACCATGCTAATGCTTAACCAGAAGGAGCACAGCTGAAGCAGACCCAGACAAGTGTCTGAAAAGCCATGTTCATATTTCTTAGGTAACACTGATGGGATTTTGTCTCTGGGAGCAGAGCCGCATCCTGCAGGGTTATGGTACCTGCGGAGGAAATCGCAGGTGTTACGAAAAACAGAACCAAACGGATCCCACTTTCTCTTCTCCTCATTTCAGGGGCTGCGGTGAAATTCGGGTGGGCAAAACCTCCTATTGGAGCCCTTCACTTTTATCCTGATGGATGGCCTTGATACTGTATGAGCACTCCTAGGTTAGAGATTTCTCCCTATGCCTCTCCCCTGGCCCATGTCTTTAACTGTGGGCTGCTGCCCTCCACCCTCTGCCTCCAGCTCAGGCCAGACAAGCAGTTGAGGGCATTTCAAAGAGTTGTCAGGTGGATTGGGCCATGCTAAGTGGAGTGTGCAGGGAGAAGAGAGGGGAAGATAAAACAGCAGGGCTGCATGCCAGTTCTCCAGCCTCTGGTGGGGTGACAACCTCGCAAGGACAGTGGAGCTAAATGTGGCTAAAACAGGTCCTCTGGGGTGGTGACTCTCCACTTGTCATCTGCAGCACAGGGCTGAACTCAGCCTGTCTGCCTATAAAACCGGAGGAGCATATGCATGGATTAGTGATTACCTTTCCCCTAATAAAAAAGGAGAAAAAAATTAGAAGGGAGAGCAAGAGGTCCTTTAGCAAGTTATTGCTTTTATGCGCTGCACCTCTGTGCACTGAGCTGAGACAGCTTCCTCTGTGCATTCAACTGAAAACAAAGAGTGAGAAGGAGAATGAAAGAGCAGGACGCAGCCTTCCCCACAGCCAGCTCTCAAATGTGAGCCTCACTCCACTGCCTGCCTGCCTGCATGGTGTTGAGAGGGGGGCACTCTGCCCTGGGTGCAAGGGTCTGCAGGGGGTCCCCATCAGCTTGTTCTCTCCTTCTCTTCAGCACCTCTGAAAGAGGAAGGGGTGCAATTATGCAGTGACTAGGAAAAATAAGCTCTCCCCACCCTCCATAATAATAGTAGTATTATGCCAGGATCACTCAGGCAATAATTTCAGTGTGCACAAACCAGTTTAAAATGGAGAGCGTTGCAGAACCACGGTCTGGTGTCGCCTAGGTAAAATGGGTGCGTTATCTGCAGTAATATAGCGATCTCGCTCTTTCACCTCCACCGCTCTGCTGGCATGGAGGTGATTGCACAGACAATGTGTCACCCCTCGCTCCCTCCACTTTTAATTCCTCCCCTCCACCCCTGCGTGAATCTATGCAATTCTCTGTTAATAAAAAAATAAGAAAGGAGCTAAGCTCTTCCTCAGAAATCTAGGTATTAGCATACTTGCCCTAATACTTTAATCCCCATCATTGTTTATAATCGGGCTACACACAAGGTTATGCGTCGTGTGGGCTGATTTATGAATATATATATATTTTGTTTTAATTGAAACGGCAACATTTAGGTTCCACCTTAACAGTGCACCTTAAAAGATTATCTCGGTTATTTCACAGGCACCGAGCCGGCACTAATAGTCCAAGGCAGATATTGAAAAGCAGCACAGGGCCAGGCAGATCTATTAGAAATTCCCATCCACGCGCCTCATACATATTGATTTCTGACACCAAGCAGCAGTGAAAGCCCCCGTGGGAATAATATATTTAGCAGGGTTCGCTGCGAGGAGGTCACAGAGTGCATACAGATTAGCTACAGAGGACCAAGGCACTAGTGTTGGAGCCAAATGCTAGATTTTATATCATTTTAATCTGAACTTTTATAATCCTTTTAGTTCTTCTTTCTCTGGATGGCAGAGGAAAGGCGCCTCTGCATGTATCATGCATCTTTTCTTCCCCCTTTATTCCTCTTATAAATGTGCAAATGCTGCTGTAATGGGGAGGAATGTACCCTTAGCATTAGCAGGAAGAGGCACAAGCAGATTTGGGGTTTATATATAGGTACGTTTGCGTGTGTATATATGCATTATATATATGTGTGTGTGTATATGTGTGCTAGTGGATAATAATGGCCATTTCAGCTGGAGACATCTTTATTTGAAGGTTTCCTTCCATGGGGGGTAGGAGGGGGCGTCCATAAATCTCAGGCTCCAGTTTTTACGTGCAGAAATAAAGAACCACCGTAAGACCTCCTTTTATTTTATTTTTATCCCAAAGCTTAATTGAGCAGAAGTTGCATTTATGCTGTTGAGCCTCAGAAAGCAGCAACAACAACAACAAAAATACCTAAACAGTTTTAATTACCTTTCTGCCTATGCTGATGGGGAGAAAATGCCTGCTCATTATGCAGCGAGGTGTTGTGGCTGGCTGAGCCTGGTGTTGGGAGGGGGCCGGGCTGAGGTTTGCGGGCTGGAGGGGTGCCAGCATTACGGAGGGAAAGGTTAGAGTTGACACACTTTGACACGAGAGTGAAATGCACTCCGACAACAAAGGAAACCAGGAGCTTGCAGCTAAACAGACACAAAAGCTTACGGGCGTCTTGCGGGCGAGGGAAATGCGCTGGCTCCCATTCCTTTCCCTTGTCTTTTCTTAGGAAAAGTTCTCCATTCTTTTAGGTAATCGGTCAGTATTCTCATACTGCTCAAACCCACCGAAAGGAGGGGTGGATTTTCACTCATCACCTCAAATAATTAAACCCAAATGCTACCACCTGCGCACACCAATACAAGCAGGTCTTCCGTACGTGTCTCTAGCAGCAAAGTCCCTCCTAAAATCTGTGCAAGACACAGACGTACCTCTACCAGGGCCCCTGCTGCCCACATGGGGCCATGAGAGCTACCCACCTGCCAGGAGCCCAGCCAGCCTGCTGGTGTCCCCGTGATCCCCCAGATCCCCTCTGGGGAGACACAGCAGCTCTGGCTGCTGTGGGGTGAGTACTGGCTGCTTCCTGCCTCGGAGGCAAAAACTCATTTGAGGCTTGCTTCCTAATTTGCAAAATGAAGCGAGGAGCAGCTTTTGCCACTTCTGCTGCTCCTTAAGCCAACAGGGTGCTGTAGCTTGGGCTATGAGAGGCTGCAAGCGCTGCTCAAGAGACTTGAGTTGTCTTTTTAACTTTTTAGCTCTTTGGATGTTGGTTTTCCTGCCAGAGGTGCCACCCTGTACCTCAGTCGGTGGAGCAGCAGTCGGGATGTCACGTGGGAGGAAACCTGTAAGCCTGCAAGAGGTGCTGGGGAAGCAAATGGCCTAGGTGGGTGTTATACAGCCAGGCTCTCCTGGGACATCCTGGAAAAGCAGTGAGGTGTTTGGTGGTGTGCGAAGACCTGCATATGGGTTTGGTGCAGCCGGGTCCCACTTTTCCAGTTCTTTCACTGTCCTCATGTTCACTGACTGCTGCTGGTGTTGTCATGCTCACCTCCTCCCCAGCAGAAGCACAAAGAGCATCTCAGTCCTTTCCATCCAAAACCTGAATTTAAACATACTTCAGTCCTTCGCGTGCATCTTGAAGCTGTTTGTAAGGCTTTTCTGCTTTGCAAGCTGTGGTAAAGTCATACGTACCTTTACAGTTGACTTCTTGAACTTATTTCCAAGAGTGGATTACCTGCTCTATTCTTGATACTTAAAAAGTCCCGGACCAGATCAGTACACGATGGTTGACATTAATCACCCATTTTTTGTCCACCTGGAGTCTCTCCCACAAGAGACAGTTCTCCACAAAGTTCTCCAACATGGGTCCTTCCCATGGGCTGCAGTTCTTCATGGACTGCTCCAGTATGGGTCCCTTCCATGGATGCAATCCTTCAGGAGCAGGCTGTTCCAGTGTGGGGTCCCCCGCAGGGTCGCAAGTCCTGCAGCAAATCTGCTCCAGCGTGGGCTCCTCTCTCCATGCGGGGTCCTGCCAGGACCCTGCTCCAGTGGTGGCTTTCCCACAGGGTCACTGCCTCCTTCAGGCATCCCCCCACTTTGACGTGGGGCTCTCCATGGTCTGCACGGGAATCTTTGCTCCAGTGACTGGAGCATCTCCTCCTTCTGCACTGACCTTGATGTCTGCAGAGCTGTGCCTCTTCCATGTTCTCACTTCTCCCTCTGGTTGCAGTTTCCCCTGCACAGTAACTTATCTCCCTTCTTAGATATGTTTTCCCAGAGGTTCTACCACTGTCACTGATGGGATCAGCCTTCACCAGTGGTGGGTCCATCTTGGGTCCAACTGGCATTGGCTCTATTTGACATAAGGGAAGCTTCTAGCAGCTTCTCACAGAAGCCACCTCTGTAGCTCCCCCACTACCCAAACCTTGCCATGCAAAGAGGTCTCTTCATCAGGTTCAACCTCCTGTACCATGAACCTTATGATTTCTGATGAGTAATGCTTGGTTGCACCAAGTGGTGGCATTCTGCAGAAGAGTTTGGTGTGGACTGTCTGTATTTTGCCCAGTCCTTGGATATCTGGAAAAGTACAAGACTGATGTTACATCTGCACTGCTGGTGATGTTATCCAATTGAGCAGCTGTCTGGAGCCAAGTCCCACCTGTGAAATTCGTTCTTTATTTTAGCTGGAACTCAGTGCTTGGGCACAACTCAGGTGTTGCCAAGGATCTCTCTTGTTGAATAAAATATTTATAAACACTGAATTATCTTTGTCAAGATAAAAAATTGGGGTTTATTCTCTGCTGTTTACTACTGGATACTTTACAGCTGAAAAAATCCATATTCATTTACCTTAAAAATCTAGTGGAAAGAGTACCTGACACAAAACTGTTTATGAATGGTGGCCTTTGCAACAACTGCAGCTTGATCCATATCAATAAGACATCAAATGGAAACCCACATTTTAGGATTATATACTACCTCAAATATGTGGCTGCACATTTTGTTTTACCCAAGCTTCTAGCCCAACATCAGTCCATCCATTCACCACTCAAACAAAATTGCTACTGAGAGCCTGGGACCAGATCTGCTTCAGAGTTTGGTTTTTTTTTGTTTGTTCATTTTTGAAGATCTCCATCTATACGACAAACAGACCCAGCATACTGAGGTGAGGTTATTGCTGGCCCTTGGCCAGTCTCTTCTACACAAGTGCCCCATTTCTTTCAGTGTCTGGAAGAGAAGACTTTGCTTGTTCCGAAGTTGTGGTTGTCAAACTTCATGCTTTATCCTCCAGCCTTGGTGCTCCCCTCGAGCACTCTTTGCGGCTCCTTATCAAGAACCGTGCATATCCTTGGAGGTGGCAGCAGTTTCATCTCCTGAAAGCTTTCTACCTTTCTGATGGCACAAGCCCCATGCAATACTTCCCTGGGGCCACTCTTGAACTAGAAACACACCTGGAGAGGTGTCACAGGAGAGTAAAGGCTGATGGTGGTGGGCATGGTCAGGAAGCTCCTGGTACTCTAGCTGGGAACGGGTCCTTGTCAGAAAGGAGAAAATCTGTATTCAGGCCCATTATCAGCTGCTGTGTGGGGACTGAAGTGTGTCAAGGAAAAGTGACTGCTGAGGTCAAAGCAGGGTGGGAAGGCTGGGGGCACACAAAGTGGTCTGGGGAGCAGACGAGGCAGCCTGCTTGGTGTTTGTGCTGGTGATGTCACCTTTGCCTGCACACGTCGCTGGTAGGCCAGTAGCAGGCACTGGCTTTGGTATGTTCTTGTAAGGCCACTTCTGCAGGAGGAGCAGATAAGTTGCAAAGACCAAAAACTGGAATATGCGGTTTTGACATGGTTTCTGCCAGCAACCTTTATACAACTGAGATATGTGGCTTTGAGGTACCTTCTGTCAAAGCAGCTCATAGGATAGCTGATGGCAGTGGGCTGAGGCATGAGGTTGTGAGGCCCCTCTTCATGAATTAACTGATTGGCTAATGGTAGGCACATCTGTGAGCATGTGGCCATGATGTTACATCTGACCATCCAGGAGCAGGACTATGGCCCTGCCCAGGGTCTGCACCAAGCTGCCTGTGGTTGCTGAGGGTCATTTCTGACATTGGGGTGGTTCCTAGTGCCTGGGGCGCTTTGGGATGGGTCGCTGGCCATCCTCACTCCCTGCCAGGCCCTCTCACTCTCACCAGGCTGGTGCCTCACTGTGAACCCAGACATGCTAATGACAAAAGGTCTGTCTAAAATTCATGTCTTCCTATGGTGGTGTGGTTGGTGTGTGTCCACGTGCCACAACGCACCTATTTTCCCCTCTCTTGTTTCCCCCCCTCTTTCCCCAAAATTGTTAAGAACCTAGAGGTTTGCAGGCTGTGCTGAGTGATGGATTGGTTGTTGGTGACACACCAGGACGACCTGGGCCCTGATGCCACAACACAGTGACCAGATGTGGCATTGCCCCTTGGAGAGCAAGGCCAAGGAAAAATACCAGTAAGTAGGGGGATGCAAACTAATCTTACACTCTAGGATGTCTCATCCCAGTGAGATAAGAATTAACAAGTTCTTCTTTGTCTTTTCTGATGTGGCAGGATTTTTATGGCTTTTTATGGTTTTTAATTTTGAATTTTTATAGCGCAGACCTGAGTATTGTTTGCATCATTCCCAATTAAAGTCTTGGGATAACCTTGAGATGTTCCTTCTCAATGCAGACCATTGTGTTGGTCAACATGAATGCAATAGCCAGAGAGAGCAGGCAGTAGGGCAGACAGGGCTGCGTAAGTCCCTGCTCCTCAGACCCTGGCTGTGGAAAGGCTGCACCACGGCTGGATTCACATCTGGCTTACGCTTAAAAGCATCTACACACGAGCCAGCTTCCTGCTGTTTACACAGCTGGGTTTTAACACACCAGGCTTGTTCTGGGCTTTTGTCTCATCATGCGGTAAAAAGCTGAGGCTTGGTGGTATTTCTTTTGGCACGCTACCTCGCAGGCCGGGGTATCTGAAAATGAGCAGCATTGGTTCTGGAGGAATATCCTGCCTACATGGGCATCCCACACCTTCTGCCTTCAAAGTACCAGCTTGTTTTACACCCATATATTTATATTTGTTATATATTTATACAATTATATATAACCATACATTTATAGACATCCATATATAAGTATGTATATATAAAATGTTTTATTGAGCAGTTCTAAGAGAGGAAAGGGAAATGTCTTATTCCGATGCAGATATGCACATGCCTGTACCAACTGCAGCTCTACCACGTATGTATTTTCAGCTCAGATTTAGACAAGTAATGGAAAATGGTGAAAGTTAAAAGCCGAAGTGTTGACCCCTACTTCTACTGGAAAGGGAATGCAGTATGATGCAACCTGTCCAGGGTGGCATTGAGTATGCTGGAAAGAGGCGCTTGAGACAGCAAGTGGACTTTATCAACAGGAAGTACTTTGTTTAAATATGAAGCTAGAAGATGGGTTAGAAGAGTCACGCCATAAAATTATGTGATTCGTAATTCATAGAAAGAAAAAGAACAGGAACAGACATCAGTAAACTGAAAGAGGTGGTAGATGAAACCCTATGGGAAGTAGGGCTGTAGCTGGTGAGCAGAAAAGAAATAGCATGGAGCTGCAGGGGCAAAATGGGGAAGAAGGCATAAAATGAGATGCAACCTGCAGATGACATAAAGAAAAAAGATACATTCCATGGGTGTTTTAGTTACTTCTCATGGTGACCAGGAAAGGGGAGCCCACTGTTAAATGAGGTGGGAAAGCCAGCAACAGGTGATGTCAAGAAGACAAAAGCACTCTGTATCTTTTTTTCCTGCTCCAGCTTTACCCGTTTAATCACCAATGAACATTTCTTAGGTTGACAATGCTCATCTCAGCAACCAGGAGGTCGAATTTAGGGTGAAAGAAGAAGACAGCAGGATATTTTCCACTAGACTGGATCTGAGAGAGCTCACAGAAACAGTCATTTAGCTGTTGGCAATTTTGTTTTTGAGAACTGGTGACAGTGAAGGGAGGTTCCCAAAGCCTGGGAAAGGTTAACCAGAGTGCCCATCTTTGCTAAAAGGCAAACCAGGGGGGGCAAGGAGCTGTAGGCCAGTCAGTCTACTTAGCACATGGCAAAAATGCTGGAAGAAATAATCAAGCAAATTATTTATGAGCCTCTAGATTATAGCATAGAGATAAGTAACAGCCAACGGGGATTTGTCAAGAACAAATCATGTCAAACTCACCTTATTTCCTCCTATGACAGGGCAATAAGCCTTGTGGAGATGCAATGCATATCATATATCTTGGCTCAGCAAGGCTTCTGACGCCGTCTCACGCTGCATCTCCTGAAGATGCCATGAGGATGTGAACCAGGAGAGGGAGAAAGCCACTCATGATGAGCCATTACCCATGTGCCCCATCCCCATAGTGGAGTGCATGGCATTTTCATGAATCCTTGTGGGATGGGTGAGGGGCGACAGAGGCATCAAGGGAGGAGAGGTGGGGAGCCCACAGGAAGGCAGGCCTTCAGCACACTTGCAGGAGGCAGTAGGGAGAGCTGAAGAAAAACCAATGTGATTCAATAAAGACAAGCACAAAGGACTGGTTTTAGGTAGGAATAAATGGCTCACATCCTGGGTGAGGATCCATTAGCAGATCAACAGGAAAAAAGGATCTGCTGGAGCTGGAGAGCATCACAAGCTGAACATGAAGCACGTCTGTGGAAAAAGCAGACGCCTCACTGGGTGAAGCAAAGGGGGGAATCACAGGCGTGTGAGGCTTTCTGTACCACTCAGTGCTAGCAAGGGCTCAGCTGGCATTCTGCTGAATCTGCCCCATTTTGAGCACTGCTCTTCAAGAAAAATATGGATTAATTGGCAAGAGTTCATCTGAGAGCACTGAGGGTGATGCGCAGTCCAGGGAGCACCTCCTGTGAGGGAGGGTGGAAAGAGCAGAGTTTATTTAACCTGAGGTTTCTCAAATGGTGGGTGCAGGAAGGTGGGGGTCAAGGTGATGCTCTCCCTGCTGCAGGCAGAACCAGAAGCCATGGCTGCATAGCAGGAAGGGAGCAGGAGTCTGGAAATGAGGGAGATGGGTGGTAAAGGTGGAAGAAAGTGTGTAACCTGATGGGCTGGCTGCTGCAGGGAAGAGTTAGGGCACAGCTGTTACCACGGGGTATCAGAAAGGGTGGTCCCCGGGGGTCCTTCCAGCCCTGATTTCAGGGTCTGGGGTGTGTGTTTTTGTTTTCCTAAAGTTTTCCCTTCAGCCTGGGCTTTGTGCTGCATGAGGATGCTCTCGGAGCAGGCTGCTGCTGCCTTGTCAGCATTTGGGATACTCTTCTGTCCACAAAGGAGACCTGCGTTAATCAGCACAGTGGGGAGATAATTAATTATTCTCAGCGCCTTCTCAATGGAAATGTTAGAAAAGAGGGCTAAACCCTCCCC